TGCAACGAATTGGCTTCTGAATGGGAAAAAAACAACAACATCCTCAAACGACAGACGAGGAAACGGAATTATCGTTCTGAGCATATCAGGTTCATCCACCCCGTGTAACCGAGTCGGGAAGGTGTAACTTACCGGTGCGAATCGCACTCGCATTCTGGTCATTGAGTCTCTCTAAAGGGCCACCCTCCTGCACGTTACAATGGTTCATTGGCGAGCGCCAGGCAACCTAGCTTTACGATCTGCCGGTCCGCCAGACACCTCGATTTCCGACGCACGGCCGTGTTTGCGGCCATTTCCGCGAGGAAGCGTTCGGCCCGAGGCCATGCAGACACTCGAGAGTTTGCCCAAGGCTCGAAAGTGCGCCGTCTGGGCTCACTACTCTTCCTCGCTTCATCTGGGTCACGGACTCGACGAGAGCTCGCTCCATCCCCGCCGATAATCGGCCTCGCGTAGGCGCCCTTCGGCTTCGCTCGCTCCGAGAACCACCTTCATCCTGTTCCCGATAAACGGTGTGTCTGAGCGGCGACACTCAGTCAGAGACGTTTGTTTTGCTTCCCACTCGCGGCCGCCTCGCGCGCTTTCTCCGACTGCTCTCGCTTTCAGCGCGCCGCGGAGCCATTGGAGGCTTATACAACGAAATGACTGCATCGATCGTGGGCGTGCTGCGGGCGTTGAAAGGTTCACAAATAACAGATGGAGATGCGGTAGCGCGGGGAGGCCACCGCAGCAGCTCTCTGCGCGCGGATGAATCGCTTCCTTAGTCCGTAGACACAATCGACGCTCATTTGTCGAGGTTCGCAGAGTCTTGACGATTGCCGCCGTCTGTTACGATAACAAATCTGCGCGATCTACACTCAAATGGGGAGCTTTGGTAACATTTTTTTTTTCCTTTTTCTATTTGTATTGCGTGCACAATGTGCGCCGCTGTACTTGACCATACGCGCCACGTACGCTTTCGGCGAGAAAAAAGAAAAAAATTAGAGCCACCATAACCGACCTTCCCTTTTTTTTTCTCACTGAGATGCGAGCCACTGAAGCGGGTGAAAATCAACCCACAGGAACGCTGCGTTGGCGACGTGAACCCTACAGTGTCTAGAAAGGGGGTCATCTGTCGTGCGACCTTGGCGATGCATTGGAGCGAACGAAATAAAAAGTAAAGGGTCAGTTACGGCTGAGACCGTGCACAGCTGCCCAAAAGCGTCGGCCTTGAACGATGCTTTCATTGACGAGCGCGCGGGCACGACACGCTCACAAAGCGGGGCGCTCTCGCTCTCGTATCTTTCGCTTCGCGCGTATTTATAAGGATACCGAGTTAGGCTGCGTTGGCTTTTCTGGGACACCTTTCTCTGGCTCCACGATGTTACTCCGTATGTCCTGGTATGCCGCATATACGCGACGAATCTTTCAGGGAAAAAGAAGAGGCCAAAGAGTAGGCTCAGTGCCAACTTCGGAAGACGCCCACAAGAAAATAAAACTTATCTGAGACACAAGCGGCTACTTTGCGCGTTTATAAATCGAGCACCACTAAGACTGTTGGAATATATATATAACCTTTCTAAATGTACAGCCGTGAGGTCACGCGTTGAAAGAAAAAAGTTGTTTTCTCTCGTCACCTATTTTTCTTTATCGAAACGCTACGCACGCACGGCCACCCAGTCACGCAGTACCGCGCTCAAATGACGCGGTCGTGCCAGCCCAAGGAACCAACAAAAAAAAAAAAAGAAAAGAAAAAAGAAGAAACCCGTGAGGATTTATATATCGTGGATTAGCGGTCACCGCATGAACACGGAAACGTTCCCCAGGATTCCCCCTCCCTTCCCTTTCCTCCTCCTCCGATAACATCTCACCTCAGCTGCGCCGAGAAAAATCTCAAAAGTGCGGAAGTTTTCCTTCACGGTAACCAGTCACTCGCTCTAGGCTGACCTCGAGCGCTCGCCCGGTCAAGAGAAAACACAAAAATTGGGGCGTGCTAAGCTCGGGACAATAGGGCGTGTATTTAGCCGCTCTAATCAGGCGCCGTCAGCACTAGGGGTCGTGGCAGCGCGCTCCCGTGCTCGCACATTTCAATCCAGACGGATCTAAACGTGGGTGGTTTTTGTGGACGCCGACAAAGGAAACATGGCGCTGCCCCAGTGAACTAGCAGGAGAACGGCGTGTATGACAGACCTGTCCAGGTGTCTTTGTTTAAGCACACGCAAAGTTTCTTTCCTCGTCCTGATCTCGGCGTAGTTTTCTCTCCCTCTCTCTCGTCATTCCCAGAGTCTTTGTGTACTGAACATTATGTTCTCGGCAGTTACTCGCCCGCGTTCTCTCCGCGTTTCTTCTTGGTACTTTCTCGAATTGCGTGAGACCGAGAGCGCTGGGAGAAAAACGTCCGCGTCGTAAACAATTAGGTGGCGGTTCGCCCACTGGACCGTAAACTCTGTTTGTCTGACACGCCTGAAGTGTGCTTCGAGTTTGCATGCTCTCGCTCGAGGAGCCGGAGCAAGTAGAGCAAAAACAGGAGTTTCATTCCTTTTTTCTTATCACGCCCCTTTTCGTCAAGTTTCGTTTTCCGCGAAAGAAACTTTCGAAGGCCATTCCGTGGAAGGCCGATCTCCGAATAGCGACACAACCGTAAGGAAGAGGAAATTCGTCCACTAAAACGACACGTTGATGACATCATTACACGGCACCTGTTGTGTTTTCGCGCTCCGTCTCGTCGTTGTTTCAGGCGCTCTTCTCGTAGACTGCCTTTTCCCTGATTCTACATTTCATTCACGTGAAAGCAAAAAGGGTGACATACTGACTGCGAACAGCGTGACGTCACGAAAAACGCGCGAAGCGCACAAGTAGGGAGCTCGCGCATCGAACTGCGCAGCGATACTGACGTCGTCAAGCGAATAAAGCTTGAAACAGGAATGGGGATGATACTTTGGGGTTTCAGGCTATCAACTAGATATGTTTATCACTTCTATCCCAATACATGCATTTATGCCCATTTCCCGACAGATGAAACTGCGCACGCTTTGAGCACTGACTGATATCTTTGACATACGATTTCACTGCAACACGCGTGATCTCGAGTACATTAGTTTATTTTGATGTTCGATCTGGTGACCTGCTCGTACTCACATAGCAGCAAGTACAGAGTAGCCATCCTCACTACTGAAATAGAACAGCAGGAAAGCCAAGAACGGAACTTCCGCTCTTCACCACGGCGTGCGTGGCCATCAAATTTCGCGGTCGATAGAGGTTTGTTCCTTTCGTCCCAGCTCCAACAACATCATTCCTTTTTGTAATGAGTGGATCTAATTATTGCTAACACACAAATGGGTCAGTATACTTCATCTCAAGAGTACTTTGCAGAGTTATGGAAGACACGTGGGGGGGGGGGGGGGGACTTTTTTTGTCGGTAACGTTAGTGTTTGCGCACACAAAACACTCTTCAGGGCTACACTCTCGCGTTTGTGACATGGGTAACTTTGCACACAACTGTTGAGATGAAGTATGAATTAATGAATAAGATAAAAGCACACCTGTGGCTTATTGGGCAGACGGAATCACACCTTTCAAAGGAGCCGACTAACAGCTCCTGTGTTCGGATAACATTGTGAAGTGCGGCGTATAACTTATACCTGATGTGTCGATCTGCAGCCCATTCCAACAAATTGAAATTGCTGCTGTCATTTCGTCATTTAGGCAAGCACATCCTGACTTTTTCACTACGTGCTGGGATTTTCGTAAACATTGGAATCGTCTATAAGATCTGAAGCGGAAGGAAATGAAAAAAAGAAAAAGTATTGTCATTTTATGATTTTACTATTTACCAGTTGTAACGTCGTTCTTTCTAATGATTCTTAGTATACTCACAATCATTTCCATTCGCGGTCTTTCTTGATTTTGTTTATGCTAATGAGGAACCATGGGAAGTTATAGAAATGCACATGATGGGGGGGGGGGGGGGGGGGGGGGAGGTTCTGGTTGCAGAGTCTGCCCACGGATTTGAACTTCGAATGGTATAACGGCAAATGGCATGGACATCTACGTGTCCACTCCGTGCACAGTGTTTACAGACACCACCCAATTAAAAAGCCTTTACTGGCTGACATCGGAAATGACGCCGACTTCTCGTTATTTTTTTTTAAACTTATTTTGTTTAATGAATTTTAGGAACACCTGCCTAGTCGGTTATGGGAATTTACACATGAGTGTTAGTTTTCCCAACGCTGACTACATCGCAGTTTCGTGAATTAAATTTAATGAATCAAATTTTGATGGCCTGATGACCTCAATTCGCGTCTCGTCTTAGGCGGAGAGATATTGCCTTATTGAGCATACATGCTTGACATGCAGTCATCTTTGCACTGCACCCCACGCAACGGTGGAGGCAGGGCGCTATCGTTTGAGGTGCCACATCCGGTGGGTTTCTGGCCGCGGTCGGGACAGACACTGGTCCAGCCTCAAGTCCGGTGGCGCGGCCGGCGCAACCGGCGTCGGCGGCCCAGCGCTGCGCCGAAGGCGATGCGGCGGCGGCAAGGGCGGCGGCGACAGCGGCGGCGACAGCAGCTGAAGGGCGGGATCGGCCGGCGGCTGGCGCGTGGTGCGGCGCTCACCTGACCGCCCTTGAACCTGGTCGGAGTCGAGGAAGCGGCTCGCATGGCTGCTCCGAATCTCCGCCTCGAAACTCGCTGCCTCGTGGCGAGGAGAAAGGGCACTCCATTTCACCAACACCTACGGCTATGGGACACGAGAAGCACCTTTAAATATAGCACGGGGGAATAGCCGAGCACGAGAAAACGATTGTCATGAAAACTACAAGGGAGCAAAGAGGAAAAAACGCGACGGCCGGCTACTTGTGAAGAGCATGCCCCAATTCTCGTACGGCTCTCGATTGCCGCCCGTCTTGATACAAATTTAGCCTCGTGGACGGTGTATAAAGGAGAACCGGTCACTGCGCCCTGCTCACTCGCTCGCCTTATCTCCGAGAGCCCAGTGCGCTTTGGCCGTCCGCTGGAGCCATGGTGTCCATGGTGAGTGCGCCGGTCGCGGCACGGCCACGTGCTTGTCGCGCTGTGCCCGGCGCGTCGGATGTGCCGCCCACGTGTGCTCTTGTTCGTGGCCCTTAAGAGTTGCCGTGTTTGTCGTCAGTGTGCTCGCGGTTGTCGCCTTTGTCCACGCACCGTGCCCCAGGTCGCAAAGAAGGGACAACGCCGAGCGCCCTAAGCTCGGGGTTGTCCTTTCCGCGCGGGTTGGGCTTCCCGGCGGTGCGCGCAAGCTTCCCCGTGAAGCCGGTTTGTTGGCGGGAGCGACGTCTTCGAGACGTTTGCTATATATGGCTCGTTGTCGCGTTCCTCGCGAAGTCTTGACGGCCCCCTGCCCGGGTTACAATCAGCGTCAAGGTGATCTCTTTTGACACGACACTGAACCTGTTCTGGATGCTCTCAGAAACGGCGCGAGTGCCCGGCTTTGCGAGCGCTCGACACCGACTCGATTCTGACAGCTTGCGCTAGCTTCCCTCGTTCGGTGGCCGCGAAGCTCTGCTTCATCTGACTTGTTGTTCGGTGCATGCTTGACGGGCTATGGCACGACGGAGTCTACCAACCTGTCAGACGTGAACCGTACCCGCACCCATACTGGGCTGTACTTCTCTTTTCTGGCACGCTTCCACTTTGGCAGGCATTGGACGAGTATCGCGGGCCTCGTGTGTTCTGGACTTCTATTTTTATACCTCTCTACGCCTAAGAAACGGTGTGCTCCGTATGTCGAAGTAACAACAGGGAATCAAACATGCTGAGTCAGTGTACTATTGCCTCGGCTTTTACAGCTAGCGTTCCGCCGCAGCGGCGGTCAAATGATTGATTGATATCGTTCCTTAATTAATGTATTCTTTAGTCGATTCAGGAACTTTATGGTCTGCGTGTGTGCGTACGAGAGTGAGCAGTAACATGCTTGTGTGCTTGCATTAGGATAGTAAAGATTTGTTTCAAAGCGCTGAAAAAAAAAAAAGTTTGTTTCAAAGCAACGGGGTTCGAAGCAGACAGTTTGATCAACGAAAAAATGGACTTCAGAGTGTAGGCGAGCTGGTGTAAGTTGAGAGGTTGCCTGTTCTTTTTTCTGTTTTCCTTCGCGTTTTCCGTTTTCCTACCTCAGCCTTAGGTTTACCATCATGTTTAGTCAGTTCCGGATGTATACACTTTGAAAATCACGCGGGCATTCCATCGTTTTGCAATACAAATCCTGTTCGTGCCAGCTGGCAGCCTGGCACCACGAGGTGGTCAGCAGAATGTCCTACTTTTCGGTTGCAGTTGAGTTTGGTCATTGCGGCCGGAAGTGTCACAGCCGTCCTGTGCAGCGGAGGAGGAGGAGGGGGAGGAGGAGGAGGTCACGGCATCTTCCACAAGTTTCCTCCAGCCGCCTTCACCATCGGATTCGGCCACGACACCGGCATCAAAATCGCTCATGGTGGCCTCAAGGTCGGCGTCGGCATCGGAGGTCACGGCGGCGGCGGCGGTTACGGCGGCGGCCATGGCTTGTTCGGAGGTGGCTTCGGTGGATTCGGCGGTGGGGGACACGGCGGCGGGGGACACGGCATAAGCATCGGTCTGCTGGGACACGGAGGCGGTCACGGCTTCGGAGGCGGCTACGGGGGCGGCTTCGGCGGGGGAGGATACGGCCACGGCTGGTAGTTACGTGAAACCATGTCCCACACACATCGATTACTCCTGGTGAGACCCTTCGCGTTGTGCCTTCACTTCGTCCGGTGCAAGCTTATGTAATTGTGGAAACATAACGTCGATTCCCGGTGCGCGCGTTTGCCCTCCGAGAATTTTTTTTTTTTTTTTTCCCGCGAGGGCATCCGTTTTTATGTGGGCAGAAAGCAAGGGAGAGGAGAAAACAAGAGCGCGCGGAGACACCAGGATGCCGAGCTCTGACTGGAATGATCAGTGGGTAGAGGCAAAGCCTTTGTCTCCACGACACTGTTTGGAGTGGAGTGGAGACAAAGGCAGCTAGCTTTGCCTCTACCCCCTAACCATTCCAGCCAGAGCTCGTCGTGCTGGCGTCCCCGCGAGCTCACGTCTCCTTCTCTCCCTCGGTTTCTGGCCGCATACTCGGCGTCAACTATTTTGCGCTACGTTGCGTGACAGTACTGCACTGCTGCGAGAGCATGTGCACCTGATTTCCTCTTGCATTTGTACGAGCTTACGCAAGTTGCTGTGACAGCGTTTAAGCACTGCGGAAGCTACTCCAGCCTTGATAGCGAAATAGTTGACGTTGAGTAGGTCGTCGCAGTGGTCTTTAAAAAAAAATATGTGCACGACACGCGCCATAGATTTTGCAGCGCGCTTCCAAAGGACGAGCTGAGATCTGGGAGCGGCAGCCTGTACGATAGTGAGTATTTGGTTAAGATTGCTGTGCGCCAGTTTTGTCGTGCTCTGGCGAGCTGAACCAACCGGCGATGCATTAACTGTGCACCTCGTCGGCTGTTGGAGTTGAGCTGACGGACCTGTAGGTTTATAGATGTAGCCGACCTCTATGCTCCCAGCTCGTCTAAATCTCGTGCCTTGCGCTTTCTGCAATCCCCTTCAAGGGTACTACTATGATTGAGCCTGAGTTTCAATTGCACAACTCGGAACTCATGTATCAGCTAAGCGTACTTTTCAGCTAGGACTGTGCCTGCTAAGAACTACGGCATCGAAACTATAAACGAGGCATAAACGTTAGCATGTCTGATTTACCTTGTTGATTTTTAAATATCCCTTTTCTTTCCGCAGCTTCTGGAAGTTCGGAGGCGAAGCTCACCTGTACATTATTGCCATCGTCACGGAGCTGCAAGCGTACGGTTCCATCATTCCCTGCCGTTCAGGACTGGCAGTCACGACGGCGGTTCGACAGTCACGGAGACGCTACCACCAGCATCAGATTGTCTCTGCGCCGACAGGGTCCGCCGTCGAGAACAACTCCTCCTCGTTGCATTACCCACAAAACGTAACCCACACATGACAATACTCACCGTGGAACGCCCACATGTTTGCTCAACCGCCTGCTGTTCTGGAAACCTGCGGCATCTGCGTGCATCTGCACTGGATCGGTACAGTTCCGAAGTAGTAATGCTGCGACTATCTTAACTGACTGCGTGGAGAGTTGAGGAGGTATTGTCGCTGTCGTAGTTTTGACGCTGAATGTAACAACAAGGTTGGTTCGAATCTTCTTCTTTTTTTTTTTTCATAAAACGGAATGAGAGTCTCGTTTTGGTAAATGTGAAAATTATTAAGTTTTCCCTGTACCACTACAGTATTACGCACTTTTTACGGGTCACTTTCGCGTCACTTGCTTCTTAGACATCCGCAGGAGGTTACTGAACGTTCTTTTTGTCGAGCCCGACACAGTTTATATGGCCGCTTCGCGAACAATAATTGGAGATACTCGAATCCAAGAACACGTTCATAAACGGCAATTGCCGACGAAGCTAACATTCATCCTTAATTCACTCGCTTGCACGTGCACATTGAGTACGCATTGAGTCGAAATCGCGGTGCGTGCGCGGGCACATAACAGGGCTCACGTGTTTTGCGTTTCCAATGCTCAATATGCTACTAGCACCAGAAAAACCTTCTACAACGTCTCCTCGCTTGGACGGCATCATGTTTTCTAACCAAACCTAATAACTTTTGACTGAACTTTAATCATCCTTGTATGCGCTGCAGAACACTTGATGCAAGACTTTGACAGTCCCAATCAAGTTCTTTTTTTTTTTCCATGTTGTTATTTTTGGTATGGAATTAAACTAAACCACACTGTACATTGTTTCCGCTGCCAAAGGCTCCGATTGACACCCCAACCTCTTCTGCCCTTTCCGGTGGCAACACAAAACAAACGACGCAAACACGGAACAGGAAAATAAACAGCCCAGCAATCGAATTTATCGACCTCATCACATAAAAACATGTTGAACACTGAGAATCCTTGAAAGATATCGAAAATTGCCCGGGCACGTAGGGCGGTCAATAGGCTCTTCTATGAAACGAAGCAGGCAGAATTGAATAAGTGGCAAGGCTGTAAGTCAAGTTCAACGCAGTTGCGGTAATCTCTAATGCCCGATAAATTAGTTTCGCCGAATAGTCGGTTTATCAGAGCTGATATTTCTCGGTAGCTTGTTTTTGCCGTGTCGTCGACATCGTTAATCACTCTTCTGGCCCGTGCCAGCAATTCGTTGTTGCTTTTTTGGGGTTTTCTTTTTTTTTTCTTTGACCACCGAGAGGATGTGCATTTAGCCGACCAGGCCAGGTCGTACAATAATTAGAAAGACAAAGCACACGAAGTTGAGACAAGAGGTCAGCTCGAGTCTCAAACCGAGCCGTTGAGGCCGGCGAAGTAAAAGGTACACTTTATATAATGGGTGCTTCTCGGAACGCTGGCCAAACCGGTTTGTTCCTGCAAAAACGGTACGTATCTCACAAAAAAAAAAAAAAAAAAGCGTTAATGTTGGATTGGTCTCTGCAAAAGGGTCTAGCTGGGAAAATTAATAACGTTCGGTATAATAAGTTTATTATGTTTGAGTAATTACCTTTTTAATTGTTAACTCTAAGGGTATTGTTTCAATTAAAGAACTACTGGGAGTCAGCGCAAATCATTATATCAAGTAAATTTGGAAAGGTACAAGGTGCATACAGCATTTTACACAAACACACACACACCCGCACACACACCCACCCACCCACCCACGCACACACACACACACACATTTTGGAAGTGTTTCTGGGTTTAAGTTTCCTATTGGTATCGTACACCATACTATCGGAGTGCATCTTTGCGCCAACGGTCCTCCTTCTCGCGCTGCAGAACCCAGATATCCTGGGTTCAATCCCCACCCCTGCCCGTTTCGACCTGGATGAGCATCGTACCGGCGTGCGGTCGCGTATCACTACTACGTGATGCACATTATAGATCCCAGGCTAGCGGTTGTATTGCACTGGCTAAATTTCTCATCTACAGCTGGGAGACAATTCGCTCGTTGAAGTCAGGCTAACCTCAAGGCCGTACAAACATACCCACAACCAATTTGGTTCCTTCCTCCTCGTGGCCAAAGCGCGCAACTGACATGCGCCTCTACGGATTGTTCGCATGGCGGTGGTGAACACAAAAATCAAAGCTTATTCTTGGAATGTCATTCAAAGTACACGTCCTTTCATTTCGACGGCTCGCCAAACTTTCTTACCATACAGGGGAGGCAAGGCGGTGGTATAGCGAGCTTTGGCCAGGAGCAGGACTGGGTTCTGATGGAAAGCCGAGATCTAAAAATACGTCCAAATTAAGCGTTTTTTTTTTTTTTTTTTTAGAGCCGTAAAATGCTGCGCGTGTCTTATAGTTTTGCAAATTGGGCTGATTTGGTCGATTAGGATGATGCCCAGAAAGTTTCTAGTTAAAACCATTCCCTTAAATTTACTAATTAAAAAGTTAGCTACACAAAAGTAAACTCAATTCAATCAAAATTCGTGAGCTGTATACATATTGTTAGCGTAAGGTCATAATGTCCCGCACCAGTAAACATGCAATATGCTGGAAGTTGTGGGAAAGTCAGCCCAGGGAGGCGAATCTTGAAATAGTATTCGTGGAACTGGAGCGTGCTGGTTAAGTTACGGTATTTGTGAAGAATAACATAGAGGACGAAAACAAGCGGATATTGAGGCTCAAACCAGTTCATTTTAATAACCTGTTCAAAATCAGATAAAAACAAGCCAAAACGGTGAGAAATTACAAGCATCCCTCCAAACTCCCCCCGCCCCCGCCCCCCCCCCCCCCCACGCCCCCCCCCCCCCCACCCAAAAAAAAAAGAGAAAAAAAAAGAAGACATTTTTTACACACAGAGACTCGCCTAGAGTGCGTCATAAACTGGTCAGCATCTTTCACAACTGATACACCATTTCGCACTGATTACGTGAGACATTCTGCATCACACTTTAGACCTCTACTATACCATCTGTCGATCATGCAACACATACCCAGTGATCATAAAAGCAGACACCTCGCTCACGAGCAAAACGTAATGAACGTCGGGCTGAAGCAGAATTTGACACATATGGCAGTGGCTTACGTAACAGTGTGGAGGACACGGCATCCCATATTCTGTGGCCTTTCTTTCCCTAACGCATAGCACATGGACGCTCATGCAGATGCAACGCTCTTAGCATTAAGTCTCGATCTCTGGCTTGACGTATACTTTGACAAACGACATCTATCCGATCAACTTTGGGATTCGGCGCCATCCTCCTGAACATAAAATATGCGCTACCACTACCCGAACTATACACTGAGGCACCACGTGCGAGAACCAGGTATACTTACCAAGCTGAATTAACCCGAGACTGGGGTAGAGAAGAAACATCAAAACGTATAAAAGACAAAAACTAGACAGTGCGACGTCTATTTTCTTTGAGACGTCGTCCTGTCTATTTTCTGTCCCTTCTACGTTTTGATGTTCGTTCTCTAGCCCAGTCTCAGTTAATACAACCTGGTTAATATTTACCAGCTCGCCTGCACCCTCACCATATATACTTACCAAATTCCTCATGTGGTCTGTTTTGCTGCATCATATACACCCACTATTACTACGTTGGTATTACCTTCCTCAAACTTTCTGCCATCTAGTCCGTGCCGAAAGTTTACTTATATAACCATTCTTAGGATGTCACTAATCACACAGTATGGTTCTTGCATGTGGCTACTCGACTACATTCTGATGAACCTTGCTACAGTGAAAACTGGTTCTCACACGCCTCCGTAAGCTCGCGTCAATGACGCGATGCAGCGGTAGACGTTGGAAGAGGTTGTTCTCAGGTAAATTTAATCATGCGTGGGTGGTGAGCTTGCAGCGTGTTCAGTCACTCCGAGCTGTCCTCTGGAACACACCGTTTCAAATGAGACTAAACAGGTAAAGGCCTGATGCGATTAAAATACAAACTCGCATTTAAAAAAGTTCACCAGATCGTCACTTTGAGTGAAAAACAAAAAGAAAAAAAAAGGTAACATTATAAAAACCCAAGACCGAGGAACTAGGAAAACGGACAACACACAAAAATATTCGAGACCTTTGTGTGGGTGTTATCAATTTTCGTTGTTTTGTCGCTCTCAAATTATTCAATGAAGTACTTTAAGCGTATCGTACTTAAAGTACTATACTTTAAGGATGTTCATAATACTTTTACTTTATTTCAAGTACATTCTCTGAGTATGTACATGTACTTGCCTTTTACTTAAAGCATTTTTTTTTCTTGTCTGGTACTTTCCGAGGAAAGTACAACTCCCGACTTCAAAGTACAGGGTGTCCATCAAAAATATTTACAGGGATTTTTTTTTTTTTTTTTTTTTCACGCAAAAGTTAATTATTCAAAATCGGAAGCGCGTTCTCCGCCCAAATCTAGCTCTAGCGGGTTCGAACCAGACGCCAAAGTTTCAGAACTAAACGTTATCTTATTCAAAAGTTATCAGTGATTTTCTGAAATTTTCAATGGGAAAATGGGGCCAATTTTCCGCCCGTTTTCGGTAACTGCCGCCACAGAGCTCCGTGTATTATAAGAGGTCCATCGGCCGCCATTTTTACATTGAAAAATTTCAGAAGATCGCTTATAACTTTTGAATGAGATAACGCTTAATCCTGAAACTTTGGCATCTGCATGGTTCGGACCGATAGGGCTTCATTTGGGCGGAGAATGAGCGTTCGGCGATGTGTAGCTTATTTTTGCAATGTATAAAACCCTGTAAATTTTTTTGGGGAGGACTCCCTGTACATTCCCCAAATTTGCTCTTGTTAAATTTGTATAAAAAATGATGCTTTGTCAACTCTGAAGCCACTTAACTTTATCCATTATTCGCCGCCATTTCCGAACATAACTGATGCACCCCTGATTACCCCTGGGGCAATGCATACCAGGTATTAAAAAAATAACATTGTATAAGGGAATGAAAGGGCATCATAAAAAAATTTCGTTTAAAGTGCTTGTACACTGGAAGTACATTGCATTTATAGTACTTTACCTCAAGTGCGATTTAACCCGGTGTACTTACTACTTCACTTGAAGTACATAACCTCTAATTTTCTATGTATTTCACCTCAATCACTTTTAGATATTTTTCCTCAATCACTTTTAGATGTGCTTTACCCAACCCTGCAATTTTCGCACCGATGAAAATTCACCAGCTTGTCTGTTTCCTCCCTACTTCTTCAACCATTCATTTTGTTTTAGTGTGCTTTTTTACTTCCCTCGTCAGCATGGCTACACGTTTTTCAGCTGCTGGTTTTAATGCGACTAGCTGTGCGCAGCCTACACCGCGGAGATGTGGAACGACCCCAAGGAGTTATCCACACACACAGAAAGGATATATATAATAAAAAAAATAGCTAAGGTCCTGGACAAGCAACTATAGTGTGGCACATTTCGAAAAGTGTCCGAAATGCCAGGCGCCTTTCTTGTATTCTTCCAACTTCGTTGTGCACGCACCACGCGAAAGCCTTCCAGTTCCGCGGTCACCGCTGAGTGCCTCACAGTCACCGGCGTTCATAGAAAGTCTTCTTCCACACGAGTCCTACAGGTGTCCCCGCCCGCAAAACTGAGCAGCCCCATGGTGGCAGCCCTGCCGTAGCGATGCCTGCGCTCTCCCGCCCGCGAGTCCATGCCCACGCGCACGCGAATCGCGGGGGCTCCCTTCTCGTCGCCGATGGGAGGCTTGCTGAACTCCGGGTGACTCTTACAGCAGAAGTAGTGGACCAGGTAGAGGAACCCCTGACGGAAAGCGTCGTGCGTGAAGGCGTACACGCAGCCACAGAAGCAGCTAAAACACTGAGCGGCGAAAAACAGAGTCTCGAGCGCGGAAGCCCCGAGACCCGACGTGTGCACCGAGGGGCTTATGGTGACCGTCAGCAGGAACGGGAGCCACAGGAGCAGAAACAGCGAATACGCGATGGCGTTGGTACGAAGGAGGCTGCGCTGCAGGATCTCCTCGCGAGTGGCCAGGCAGTTTCGCAGCTCGAGGTTGTACGTGTAGTCTCGCTGTTCGTGCATCGCCTTGACGAACACGGCGGCGGTGAGTACGCACGGCACGGAGAGTGCCACGAACATTTTGCTCTCGCGCATGTCTCTCTCGCACACGTCCAGACCGCCCGTGACCAGCGTGACCACGAGCACCATGGCAATGGCTATGGTCCACGCGGCGAACACGAGGAACGCGACTAGTTTGGCGCCGCATACGGACGAGTAGACGTCGCTCTCCTGGCGGCAGCTTCGCACGTAGTTTTCGCCCGCGATGAACAGGAAGGTGAAGACGCTGGCGTAGAAGCCCAGCAGGGCTGGGTACCACTGCCAGTGGCAGGTAATCATGCTTCCCTGGCAACCGGCCAGGATGGCCACTATGGTGATGGGAAAGCCGACGGATGTGACCAGAAGGTTCGCGATCGCCAGATTGGCCACGAGGACGTTGCCCTTGCGCCGGAGGTTCTCTTGGATGAAGAGCGACGAGATCTGGAAGATGTTCAGCGTCGTGCCGAGGACGGAGAAAACCCCGTAGAGGACCAGACTCACGAGAGCGTTGTTCTGGTAGGGCATCCATGACAAGGAAGGCTCGTCGTTGGCACTGCGCGTAGCGTTGGCTTCTCGGGAGGGCGGCAAGTCCGACGCCGCGTAGGCGACTGAAGGCAAGCTGCTGCCCTGCTGGTGCAACTGCTGCTGCGGAACTCTTTTCAGCAGCTCCAGGAATAGTGAGGCAGTAGCAGAAGCGCCCATCAAGGTCACGTTTGCGAGGGAACGTTGCCAGTGCGCCGCTTTATCTTCACGCGGGGACTGCAAAAGAATAAAGGCAACAACGACACTCATTGGTATCTTGATAGCTTGTACGCACATGTAGGTATACAGCATAAAACTGCGTACAAAAAGTCGTATGCTATTCCGGTTAGTGACCGGTCATTAAAGGGGTACTCCGCCGATTTTTGAGCTACCTCAACTAACTATATTTTCTGACTCCCAGGCCTTTACCCTTTCTGGAATGCTATTTAATATCGTGAAATTCATAATAGTTATTGCGAAATCGGCAAATGAAAATGATGCAAAAACAGACATTCAAATATACCCGCCCTTTTCAGGGCCGTGACGTCAGTGGAAGTTCAGCTTGCCAGTCGGGCGAGCAGTCTAAAAAATAGAATATGCCAATGATTTGTTCCGTGCTGGAGCGCGGGGACTGGAGCGAGCTTCCAAGGCATTCATTTGACACCATGAAACTGCTTCAAATCAGTTGGGAACAAATTCTACAGTCCAAAGAGTGAACCCCTGCACTTCCAATGACGTCACTTTTTCATTGTTGCCAGTAGAGACTTTCAGTTTGAAAAACACGGTGAGGACCAAAATTGTAAATTCAATAACTTCGTGAAAAAAAATTATTTTGACCTAATATTTGGGACACTATTTTGGCGATGTTGTTTGGCGAGTTTAGCAAAATTTCAAGCAAATCGGGGACCATGAAGAAATCGGCGGAGTACCCCTTTAACGCAAATTTACAATGCATGTGAGTTTAACTGGTCTCGTTGATACGGTCACACGTATTGTCTGTTGTTCCACAAAATCGCTTCAGAACTCAGGGAATTCCGCGGTCCCTGGCGTGCTCGCGAATATCTACAGTGAATCATCTAAATAAACATTTAAAACACCATTTTCGTATACCATACTACTTCTTTACACTGAATAAGAACTTTACAATTTCACTAAAACATTTCTTTCGGAAGAAGTGAGCATGGGTGCAGCGCGAGGGCCGGAACTCGCGATTCGACAGCGAGTAGCCAGAATTTCGAAAATCGTGAAACGAACAGCGTACGTGAGGCGCACAGATGAACAATAAACGCGTCGCATAAATTGAGTCCGCGTCGTGCCAGCGCTTAATTATCATTTTTTTTTTCACTTAGCCACCAATTTCGATCGCATTAGCATTCCCGCACGAACTCCGAGGCTATTTACCACGTACCCGGTCTTCAAATCCTTCGCCATCGACCCGCGCGACCGTTAGGCGAGTTTTAGTGTCGGCCTGCGAACCAGATCAAACGATCGCTGACGGTCCCCCGCGTGCGGCGCTGTCGTCCAGTGTTGCCAGAAGGAGAAAAAAAAAGTCAGCAGATTGATCTCCAAAAAGTCAGTAGATTTGCACAAAAATCAGTAGATTCTACGAAATCTGTGTTTTGCCATGTTTTGCCATTTCCATTAAACCATGTTTCGAAGAAATACTATAGAGCAACAAATAACATGGTAATAAACACAAATAACATATACAAAAAACAAGACCATTTCTCGAGTAATTCTTTATGAAAAACAAAGTAAAATGGCACCGTGAATATATATATATATATATATATATATATATATATATATATATACAGGGATGGGCAGTATTTTAAATACAAGTATTTGAAATACGTATTTCAAATACTTAGTGTATTTTGCATTTGTATTTAATTACAAATTGGGTAATGTATTTGACGTGTGTATTTAAATACTAAAACGTGGGTATTTCAAATACAATTGTAGTTAAATACAATTTTGTGGGCGAAAATACATCCCTCAAATTTATTGTCACTGACCAGAGCAGGAAGAAAATCAGTAGTGTTGACGATTGGGCTAGTTGGTCATTCATATTAGCGGAAAACAAACAGCGCAAGGACAAGGACAGAGTAGAAGGCGGTAGACACACACAGCGCTGACTTACAACTGAGCTTTATTGGCACTGACAACCTGTATAAATACACAATTTGCCCTGCCCAAAAGCCAAGAAAAGAAACACAAGAGGAGGACTACACGTGTTCCTAGAGTCATCTGCAGGCGCCGTTGCTCTCCGATCTGAGTAGAAAAATACACTCCTTTTCCGTCAAGGCAAGTGACGGGGCACTAACACACTCAGAGCCCGATTGTCCAATGGCGCGGGCTTCTATAATCTCACGTGTCAGTTTATCTTTTTGTTTACTGATGACCGTGCATCGTTCAAAAACCGGAGTGCATCCGCAATCGCGGCAATGCACCCCAAGGTGCCCCGACACAACCTGAGACACATTATATCGATGCTCTCTTAAACGCTCATTAAGACAACGTCCCGTCTGCCCTATGTATCTCCGGCCACAGGACAGGGGAATAGTGTAGACAACACCCGTTAAGGTAGACAACACCCGTTAAGGACATTAAGGACTTATACTACTCGATTCCACACACGGAGCTTTTAATGTGCGTCGAAGAGTGTATTGACAACCACGGGTGTGTAGCGTTTCAAAATGAATGTGGTCTGGGGGTAAGAGACTTCTTGGAGCTTTTAACCTTTTATCTAAAGTCGACGTTTACAACTTGGAATGGAGAGACTTTCATTCAGAAAAACGGCATATGCATCGGTTCCTGTTTAGCTCCCGTATTGAGCAATATTTATCTTGCATTTTATGACAGAATTTTATCTAATAGACTTGAAGGCTCTAGGGTAAAAAAGGTTTTTAGGTTTGTAGATGACTACTTAGTGCTTGTTGACTGTGACTCAGACCACTTTGCTGGCGAAATTTCTGAGGTTTTGGCCACTTTTAGTAAATGCTTGGAACCACTGGTTATCACGCATGAATTACCAGTAAACGGTTCCATAAGATTTTTAGACCTTAGGCTGCAGTGTCTCCCCACACACACCTGCTGGCTTTATGAACCAAGGAGTAATAAACCCCTCCTGTCGTTTTCGTCTGCCCACTCTAAACTGGTAAAAAGGGGAATCATCAACATTTGCTTTAAAAACGCCCTTAATAAATCATGCTTTCACTTAGTCAAGGATAGCTTTCAGAATCAAGTAGCGAGGCTCACGGCCGCGGGCTACCCGTTGCGCCTCTTAACGGCAGTCGCAGAAACTCTACTAAAGAGAAGACGGATTGAGAATGCTGAACAAGTTAACAGGAAAAACAGGAACATCACAGTATTACCGTACCTACACAAAATATCCCACAATCTGAAAAAAGTGGGACGCCGAGCTGGTGTTCACGTGGTCTTTTCGGCTCCAGACAAGCTATCTATGATGTGCAAAAGAGTGAACTCTCATGTAATAGAGAGACAGGTGTGCGCCAAGAAACACCAAAGCCAGTTTGTTACATGCGTTGCGGGTGTTGTCTACTCTATTCCCCTGTCCTGTGGCCGGAGATACATAGGGCAGACGGGACGTTGTCTTAATGAGCGTTTAAGAGAGCATCGATATAATGTGCCTCAGGTTGTGTCGGGGCACCTTGGGGTGCATTGCCGCGATTGCGGATGTACTCCGGTTTTTGAACGATGCACGGTCATCAGTAAACAAAAAGATAAACTGACACGTGAGATTATAGAAGCCCGCGCCATTGGACAATCGGGCTCTGAGTGTGTTAGTGCCCCGTCACTTGCCTTGACGGAAAAGGAGTGTATTTTTCTACTCAGATCGGAGAGCAACGGCGCCTGCAGATGACTCTAGGAACACGTGTAGTCCTCCTCTTGTGTTTCTTTTCTTGGCTTTTGGGCAGGGAAAATTGTGTATTTATACAGGTTGTCAGTGCCAATAAAGCTCAGTTGTAAGTCAGCGCTGTGTGTGTCTACCGCCTTCTACTCTGTCCTTGTCCTTGCGCTGTTTGTTTTCCGCTAACAGGAAGAAAACTACGTTCTGCACCGAATGCAGTGTCTCTATCAAGCGCAAGCGTTTAGTGACTTTGTGATTACGGTGCTAGTCCAGGGACGAAATCGACGTTCACCGGCAGACTGGCTAAATAAGTGCCAGTGACAACTTGTGATGCTTTCCAGCCTGATTTCCACCCATATTTTTGCCTGGAATATTCTAAATAAGCGGGTCGTCCAGATTTTCGTAACTGGTGCGAGTTGCACCAATAAAAAATTCTCTAGTTAGTGCTGCGCGTCTTGGTCGTCTCGGTTCTTTGTTGGTCTATCCCAAAATGTAATCGACAAAAAAAGCTGCTTGAAGATCTGTACTTTTTTCACCTATTACGTCCAAGCTGATTACATTTTTTGTGATTATATTTCTATTACGTTACTAGAGCCTCGCACACTAACTCCTGAGTGTGCGATGCAAAATTAAAATGAGGTACCCAGAAAGCCGTTCCAGGTGCCCTGAATTCGCTGAAGCAAATTTTGAGGAATGTATTTGGAAAAGTATTTGGAGGAGACCAAATACATTTGGTTGTATTTGTATCTTGTACTTAAATGCTTTTTCGGAAATGTAATTAGATTTGTAATTAAATACATTTTAGACCAAGTATTTTGTATTTGTATTTCGATACATATTTGCATGTATTTTGCCCATCCCTGCTATATATATATATATATTTTTTTTTTTTTTTATCAGCATTGACTAGTGTTGCGATTTCGAGGATTATTCGTTGAAATCGAGACTGAGCCACTTTTGGGATCAACAGATGAGGGCAACAGTGGGACAACCACCTGTCGCTATTATTGAAACGAAACTAAAACAAGACGTCCCAGCAAGTGCGGGCGTGCACGTCCATTTTATGTCCTCTGCAAGCTGCCATCTTTCATTACTGGGCTGTGGAAGGTTTTTTGACGCAACGCTGTCGGCGCGGAGCACTGTCGAGGCTATGTGTCGTCTGCTACGAGCTTATTTCTTTTTCGCCTGACTCAAAGCTTGCGTTCGAACGTGGAGAAACTTAATTCGTTAGCTTTTTAAGCCACCGAGGAATAACATTATGTAATTTTCTTGCCAAACCTTCCAAATAAAAGTTAAGAACCGAAATTTGGATGTCGATCCCATGCGTTCCGCCGGGCGAATGAATGAAAATGGCGGCCCTCCC